CTTTGTCTTTCCAATCTCTATCTGTCTATTTTGGCTTTCAAAAGAAAATACACGGGGCATATTTAAAGCAAATGGTCATCATGATTAATAAGGACATCACACTGAGACATAAAACGGCCCTGTCTCCTTCATCTGTTCTTTTGGTGCAGTGATTAACCTTTGGGTTTATGAGTATTTTTGCAGTTGCCTCGGATAAAATGTTTTATTACTTACCTCCCAGGCAACCTGGATTAAACTTATCAGGTCCAGGAAGACAGTGGACCATAATGACTATTCTCTTGGAAATCATATCTACCTCCTTACTGCATTATCAGAACATTCTTGGCACGAAACAGATGGAAACATCAAGATGAGACGATACAACTTGCTAAGGTCATGTTCCACCTTCCTATACATCATTCATGCTTAGTTGATTCCCAGCCCCTCCTAGAGACAGATTGCTATACATCATGAATGCTGAGAATATCAAAAGTTTGTTTTCTTTTGACATTAATTCCAATTTGTAGTCTTCTGCCTTTACTGAAGTTGCTTTGGTAGTGTGCTTGCTAATGACATATCACTGCCTTTCAACACAGAAACAGGGCAGAAGAAAGCATATTTATCTTTTGGCAAAAACATTCTTCTCTGACACAGCATTTCAAGTATTCTGTTCTCAGTGTCAGAGAAGGAAAACCTAAGAGAACAAAGGAGATTCAAAGGAAACCACAAGACGGATCCCCAGAGATTGTGCAGTAAGTAGTTTAAAATGGCATCTTTCTATGTACTTCAGAACTGGTTTGAGGAATGCTGCTTAGCTTCCCTCTCACACCTACATGACATCTCCTTCTACACTATACAAAGAGGGAGTCAATCATTTTGATGCATGTCTTCTAACAGGGAAGATGAATATTTGAGTGTCAAATCTGAACTTGCTGTAGACCTCCTAATCATTTAGAGATACTGAAGTAAGTTTAAGGAGGGGAGGGAGGGGACAGGAGGGACAATAACAAAAACACCACAAAGCTGTAAACATTGTTACCAAAGATCCTGCTCTCTTTTCTAAATATGCTTTCTCTAGCTAATTTAAACAAATGCAATGTGCATGAGTTGCTATCTATAAAACTATTAATATAGTGATGTAGGAATAACTATACGAGGGTGAAACATTACCTTCAGTCTGCACAAAGTATTAAAAATATCTTCAAAGAACTTAAAGTGTAAGACTCCTCTGGCTGCAGCAGTTCAAAATATAGTTATTAAGCCAACAATAGCAGGCAGTAGTCCTGGCAGAGAATATCTTGGATTTAGAATCCGTATCATTACAATAAAACTGTCTGTATACAACTCTTAGAAGTGAAAAACTGGTTTCTGGAAGGGAATTACTTCATTGCTTCTCTGCACAAAGTGAAAAGAGGTGGATGGAAGTCTCTTTTGGTTCCATAGTGCTACAGTCTATCTAAATCATAGAAAAGAAACACAACAAATACTGAAAGCAGTATTGGCCTTTAAAATGTTTTTAAAATCCAAGACTCTGTCCTGTTTAAGTCGCGAGCATGCTGAAGGCTGACTAAATTTAAAATAAATAAGTAAATAAATAACTTAATTATATATATATATAAAAGCATCCAGATATGGATACTTTTAATCTCAGTTTACTATTAAATATATTTTGAATAATTTCAAACCATTCTCTAGTTTTCATCTCACATCTTCAGTTTGCATCACCACATAAGAATATACAGATCCTCTTAGATTAAGCTAAGGTAGTGCCACAAGGAGCACTCCCTATGTTATGCATTTCCTCTTTTAAAACAGAAAACAGATGTTTGTTGGTGGAGTAATTTGGTAGTAGAATGAAGTGCAGATGAGGATCTTTCTTTGTAACTGTTGCTAACACCTGCTTCATTTCCTTTGGCACTCTCAGGATCCTTTCATGTGAACTGAAACAAAGGGAAGAGGAGAGGAAGGAAAACCAGAGGCTTTTTTTGCCTTATCCATTTTAGAGAGCAGCTTCATGTATCAGTTTGCTGTAGAGAGAAGTATCATCTCTGTATTGCTGTCTCTGGCAGAAATATAAACTGTAAAAAATCTTTTATTTTCCGTAAAACGCAGACATTTAGACACGAACTTTACAGCTTCATTGCAAGACACTCTTCACGCAGAGGAACTGTCAGGTCAGAGAAGGAGGATAAAAATGAAACAGATGAGTTTCCTTTACAGTTTCCCGGTGGGAGTGCTTTGCTGAAACGCCAGTCCAACTCTACTGGTTTCTGCATCAACAGATGGCAGACAGCATTCCTTGTGTTTGCTTCCCATTTGGTAAATCACAGGTCACATCTGGTCTGGCCTCTGTTCTTTCTGAACAGATGGAAGTACACATTCATTATCAATTGCAGTGAGGAGATATGGGAGGAGTAGGGAGGAGTGTTCTTGGGGGGATGGAAGTTGAGAAGGAGTTAGAAAATAGAATAGAAAACTAAAGAAGTCTTAAAAAATGAGAGAACTTAAAATGAACGCTAACAAAATAATACTGCTGGTGAAAATGAAAATTTTTAAAAAGTGGTATATAGATAAATGGATACTAGAAATTACTTCCACATGTAAAGGCACAATTGTGAGAATTTACTTAGAGAATATGATGAAAATCCACAGGTTAAATGACTGTCACCTCCTATTCAAAGCTATTGTACAGGACACTATATATATATATATATATATATATATATATATATATATCATTCCTGATTTCTTTCTACACAAGTTATTAACTAAAAAACAGAAAACACACAGAGAAATGTTCATATGAAATGTTCATATGAATATGTTCATGCAAATGAAAGATTTTTCATTCAACTTTCTAATAGAAAATGGGGTGATATTTCTGAGTCTGTATATATTTTCCTTTAATCAGGTTATGACTGTGAATTTTTCATATTTTTAATAGCAATCTTTTAAACATTTATAATTACATACAAAGTTAAAGATTTCTAATTACCTCAACAGAAATTTTAAAATGTTGATTTTCAGTTAGAATTTGAGTTGTAAAGAAAAGATTCTAACATATTCTACTTTCAGAAATGTAAATAACCTGAAGCTTAAAAGTGAATGTGTTATCATAGTTTCAAATACACACAACACAAACCTGCTTAAGTATAATAAATTCTTCTTTTAAGTGGAAAAAATGCACACAAGGGCATAGACTTTGTACATATACATGCAAAACACAAACATTGTTGATCCCTAAACAAGATGTAAATGTATTTTACACTTGCCAAATACTGCCAAATGAGTAATAAAATAAATTTACTTCTTTGGTCTTAAGAAGCAAAGTAGACTTGAATGACTTGACACAAAGCAATGTCATGCAGAGCACACTAATCAGAGCCTTATAGGAAGAGCTCTGTGTTTTCCTGGAATACAATAAATATTTTTTAGGACACCTAATTTGAACAGGCTGTTTTGACTCTGGCCTTTTGGTGTTTTACACATTTCTACCATCTGAAAATATATTTTGACAAGCAGCATTGTCTATTAGCAGTTGTCTATTACTATCACTACTGCTAATAATACAACGTGTTTGAAAATTAACTGTTCAATAATTTTCCCAGGCGAAAAGAAAAAAAAGTGTTTTTTTTTTTTTTTTGTGTGTGTGTGTTTTTTGTTTTGTTTTGTTTTGTTTTTGTGTGTGTGTATGTTTGTTTGTTTGTTTGTTTTTTCCCTTTCAGCCGTTCAAATGGTTGTTTTTCTTCAGCTTAAATAAAACAGGATTTAAGGTGGCTTTATAGAGAATAAGATTGTTATCATTGTTGAAAAGGTTAAAAGTAATTCAAACAAAACTAGAACAGAACAGATAAGCAAGTAAATTTTTTTTCCTATTTTTGGTCCATGTCAGTGTGAAAGTCAGCATGGACATTTGTACCTAGCTATGAGCAGCAACAGAAAGACAGGAAAAACTTTTATAATCATAAAACACAAAGCATAGTAGCTCAATCACCTTAATATTTCCTGTTCTTGAATGAACCCTAAAAAGAGAGATAAAGTATGTTTTTGTTTTCAGAAGGTTCTTTTAAGACCAAACACTATTTTCATACAAAATCAGGAACAAGCTTATGTACTTTTGGAAGTGGCATATTAGATCTTAACCAGATATAATGATTTCAGAGTACCTGAAAAAGTTCAAGGATATGAGCCTCAACACACATCAATCCCAAAGTCAAAGAACATACAAAGTTCCCTGTCTTATTTGGTAAGTAGAAAACAGTAATGTCACCAGATCAAGAGTATTGTTGAGTTAGGCTTTCTGACAGAGCAGGAGTCACAGTTAGGAATAAATAAGTAAATAAATATTTCCATTCCTTTAAAAAACTCCTTTAATAAGAGCTTTGTCTAAACTAGAAGCTCAGTATAGGAATAAGGCCTGGCTTTACATAACTGGCCTGTGTTTGGATGGGGTTGTGTTTGTTTTTGTTTTTGTTTTTGTTTTTTTGTTTTGTTTTGTTTTTATACTTCTTCAATACTCTGTTTGAAGAATATAGAGTAGAATTTCAGGGCCTAAATATGTCTGCTTCTGGCTTTAACTGAACTGGCAAGTTCCTATTGACACTGAATACAGAGATAGTTCAAAATATGTGTTTAGAAAAACAAAAAAATTTCCACTGCATATAAAATTAAGCTGGGAACGAGCAATGCAGTGTAAAAGCAATGGAATTGGTTGTCCTGGTTTCAGTTAGAACAGAATTAATTTTCTTCCTAGTAGCTGGTGGAATGCTGTGTTTTGGCTTAGGATGAGAAGAGTGCTGATAACACCCCGATGCTTTAATTGTTGCAGAGCAGTGCTTATACTAAGCCAAGGACATCTCAGCCTTTTGCTCTGTCCTGCCAACGGGCAGACTGGGGGTGCAGTAAGAGCTGGGAGGGGACAGACCCAGGACAGGTGACCCAAACTAGCCAAAGGGGTATTCCATACCATCTGACGTCATGCTAAACAATATATAGGGGTGGCTAGCCGGGGGGGGGGGCCGGACTGCTCGGGGTTAGGCTGGGCATCGGTCAGCGGGTGGTGAGCAATTGCATTGTGCATCACTTGTTTGTACATATTATTATTATTTCCCTATTATCACCATTGTATTATTATTATTATTATTGTTATTATTATTTTGTTATTATTATTTTCCTGTCTTATTAAACTATCTTTATCTCAACTCACGGGCTTCACTTTCCATTTCTCTCCCCCGTCCCAGAGAGGGAGGGGGGAGGGTGAGCGAACAGCTGCGTGGTGTTTAACTGCCGGCCGGGTTAAACCACAACATTGGTAGAACAAAAAAGCTGTATAAGACAAAATCAAAAATTATGAAAGTGAGACAAAAAAAAAAAACAAAAACAAAAACAAAACCATAAAATGTTTGGGAGTCAAGAGAGCTTTTAAAAAAATGTTATGTTGTGCTTCAAGCAAGCCAAAATCAGAAAATATTATACCAGAGAAATTATGATTTTTCTGTTTCCTTTAGCTTATGAACAGGCTAGACACAGCTTCTATACTGTCCTAAAGAACCTGAGTAATAGTAGGGATAGCATGAAATCTAAATTAAACATAATGTGTAATTCAGACTTTAGAAGACTGGGCAGCTGTAGTATAAGCCAATAGCACTGGGTACTATTAAGTCAACTTGGCATTTTCCATTACGCAACTTTGAATACTTGCTGATACTGGAAAACAGAGATTAACGCCAGCTAAGACAATATGGAGTTAACTATAGGAAGAGATATTACACAGAGAATTCAAAAATGGGGATAAAGGGGAGAAAGAGAAAAGGCAGCCAAAGAAAGAAAGAGGACAGGCAAGAAGAGAAGAGGAAGTGAAAGAGACGAGAGGAAAGAGACAGGAGGGTAAGAGATCAAGAGTGGTGAGGGAAGGAGCAAAAGAGAGAGAGGGAAAGAGGAATTGAGGGGAGAAAGAGGGCAAGTGGAGAGAACATCAGAGAAGAATGGAGAAAGAAGATGAGAGAAAAGGAGAGAGAAAGAGAAAAGAGAGAAGGGAGAAGGTGGAGAATGAGAGTGAGAGTGAAAGAAAAGAGGGAGATCACAACAGAGAAAGGGGAAGCAAAAAGAGGCAAAGATAGATAAGATGATAAGGAGAGAGAGCATACGAGGACAAGGGGGAGAAAATTGAGAGGAAGAGAGAGAAAGAAACCTAAAAAGAGAGAGTAGGGTGAGAGTAATAGAATCATAGAATGGTTTGGGTTGGAAGGGACCTTAAAGATCATGTCATTGCAACCCTTCTGCCATGGGCAGGGAGGGACATCTCCCACTAGATCAAGTTGCTCAAAGCCCCATCCAACCTGGCTTGACTTTGAGAACTCTAACAATAATAATAGTAATAACAATAATAAAAAAAAATGATCTTTAGACAAAGCAATAGAATAGATAGCTTGGAACTATGTACTGTTCTTTCTGGTATCATTTACATGTGCCATTTAACACCACTGCTGACATGTCAATATTTAGCAGCTTTGATTATAAAAACAATGAGCTCAATTTTTTGCATATATATGTATATATATATATATATATTTTTTTTTTTTTTGGTTGGTTGGTTGTTTTTTTTTTCTTTATTCTTGTTTGTTTTCTTCTGAATTGAGACTGGTGGAAGGTTAGGTTCTTGTATTTGTAACAGTAAGTAAAAGATATAATTGACAGCTATAGATTGCTTTGGAGCTACAACATAAGTGAATCTATGTGACAAAGAACACAATATTTCAGGCAACCCAGAATTAGAAAATTGTAGTAATTAAGATTGATTATTACATCTTATTCTCCTTCCCTTGTGCATACATAGTGCAATACAGTTTCTAATTCACACAGCTGAAATCTGTGCACACTACACACAGATTTTACTTAAAGAAAAGCCTTTTTGATTCAGTTTTATTATCTCTTTTTGGTATAAGGACCTATGTCTCATGTACTGCACACTATCCAGCCCTTCATTCTCTTTATTTCCTTACTAAGTTTTTATGGGGCTATATTTTTATTTTTAGAACCCTATAGTTCCTTATACTTCATATACCTTATATTTTTTATTATTTATGAGGAATAATGTAGCAAAATTTTTTCTTTCTTTTTTTTTTTTTCCTTTTCTGAAAATATAAAAGCATTTGGTGTACAGAGATATTGTAGTCAACAAGTATCTAGATAGTAATGTTTATCTTCTGTACTTAAGAATTTATGGAATACATGTGTGTCAAGGGCACTTTTCTTGTTTTTCATTTGTGGCACCAATAGCTGCCCCTACAGCATATCAGACCTCCAAGTGACTCATGATTAGCTCTTACAATAGGAATCATCATGCTAGCATTTAGGATAGATTCCAGGTTACATATTCTTCAAAACCACCTTCATTAATGGACCTTGTTTTCCCCGTTGATGTCAATTTCTCTATTAATTGCATGAGGTACTGTACAGGTTTGTATCTTAATCTTTTAGTTAGCTCCAAAAATATCATAAACCATAATACATAGACTAATTGGTTTCTTTCATGGAAATTAATGTTTACTTCTGATACGGAAGAATTTTTATTTATCTAGAAAGCTTGTCTTAGGAGCAAACAAACAAACAGTTAATTCATGCAAAGGGATACAGTAGGGACAAAATTCATCTGCAGATATGTGCACTAGCTTTTTTTTTAATATATTTTTAAAAATAATATATATATATTTAGTTTTATAAACTAAAGGTTTTGAGAAAAACCACGTATAGAATTCAACAGAGAAACATAAATGCAAAGAAATTTTATATTCATAAAGGAAATTTAAAATAGTGACACTTCTTCAGTTACTTTATTTTAAAAATCCTCCAAACCTTTGTTTTACCTCAGAAAAGCAGGAGGCCCTAATTAATATTTTCAGATGGCATGGTATATATGAATAATAAATATTTTTTTTCATTCCCTTTATCCTCTTCCCCATCACTGCATGATTTTCTCTCCTTGATAGACAATTTGTATCTTTTCAATGTTTACGAATAGAAATGTCTAAAGCTAGACAACAGATCCCTCTAAAATCTATCATAAGGTGGGAACATTAATGCACAGAACTCAAGTCAGGAACGTCTTTGTTTATGGTATCAGTAAAAGACGGGTTACTCACTCTCTCTTCTCCCACATCTAATTTATAATATACTAGGACTGTATCCATTTCTATTCATTATCTTAAATATCATCTTTAAGTCAGTAGTTTTGGCTTACTTAGATTCCATTTCCCAGTTGAAATGCCACAGACAGCTGTAAGTGCTTCAGGTAATGGTACACTTAACCCAGGTTTACATTGCTGCATGTTTTCTGATTCAAGAGTCTGGCTTGTCAGTCTGCCTGTTTGTGTAAAGAAGCACACTACACTAATGATCATGTTTTACCAATCAGGTGAATAAATAAAGATATTTATCTGTACAAGGATGCTGATCTGGTAGCTTTCACCAGTGGTACAATTAGCCGAGAAAATATGTGTGTGTGTACAACAGAAATATTGAAATTTTCCATGAAGCTTTAACACCTCTTTCAAATACATAGAAGGAAACACTATATTTAGGAGAAACTATTTAAAGATTAGACTGAGGAAAAAAACCTTGCATAGAAAAGACTCCTGAAAATAATTTTCTCTTATACAGAAGAACTGTTCTCATTTTTTTCTTGGGGGAGAGGTAGGAGAGTGGTGGTTGTGGTAGTGTTTGTCCATGATTTTCTTATCAGAAAAGCCTTTTTATAGTATCAAAACTAAACCAGAACCTTTTAATAAGCAAAATCTGTTCAGGTTTGCAATTAAGCTGCTTCTTTAAGAAGGTATGTTATGATTATTTTAAGCCTACATCATTTTATTTTTTCCCCTGTGGGCCTTTGTGTCATTTTTGCGTTATCTTCCTACACCATACCACAATCCCTTCTATTTTAAGTCTGCCCATTGTACTGCAGGCTTTGTCTTGATCATGTTGATAATACTCAAGTTAATTCTGATTCATTCAAGTGATACAGAGGATAATCCAGAGTCCCTGACAAAGGTCTCCTAAGAGAATTTTTTAGCACACAGATTTTATCCCACAAAGGTATTTTATTATTTTTGTAATGGATTCTTCTGGACACAGTTACTTTGCATCTTTGTCTTTTCTGCTCCCCTCCCCACATTTCTAACAATTCAAAAAAAATAAAAAATAAAAAAGATTGGAAATAATACTGTGAGGCTTTCCAAAATCTTGATAAACTTAATTATCTACACTGTTTAGATGAATAAACTGTCACATGGTGAATGTACTAACCCATAAAAATTAAAAGTGAAAACTAAAACACAGTTTTCCAAAACTATCAAATGTAGCTTCTGCTTATGGTCTGTTTTCCCTTTTTGTTATCTAAATTTTCTACATAACTCATGTGCATAACTATAATGTAATGAAAGAAAACATCTACAATTTTTTGAAGGACTTTTCTAAGAACTTCTGGTCTGGTTGGCCTATTAACAATTCACCTGTCATTAAAGAAAATCATGCTAATAATTACATATCTGAGTAAAACTTTTCTTTGTGACTAACAGTGACTTGTATGTACAGTAATTCTGGTACACTGTTCTGCCAGCTCATTACTAAAAGCACATGCACACAAAACTGGACAAGGAGTGATTACTTTTTCTGATTACAGGTAAAAAGATTTTCAGCATGTACCTTGAGACATGTACCTTCTTCTATGTTTTTCTGAAAGTACAATTTAATAAATATTTATTAATATATTTAGTGCTTCCTATGAGAAAGCTAATTGTGGGTAAATAAAATTTTTCTCCCACTGCCTGCTGAAAGTGGAGAAGAAAAAAAAAAAAAAAACAGCAAAATGGAATTCTATACTTATTGTTGGATGGTAGATCTTTCACTACAATCAAGAACAGACAGAGGTTTCAAATCACACTTTCTTACAGTGGTTTTGTTTTTACCTCCACACTTTTCTTGTACTCTTTTTACTTACCTCACTTTTATCTAATTTTTTTGAACCATAACTGTATAGATTGATACAACACAGACAGATTACAACAGACTGGTACTATGCCTTCATATTTTAAAATGTATGGTATTAAGAGATGTTTAAATATTTCAATTCTTTGTTTTGTTTTATTATATTATATTAGGGTAGTTTAGTTTAGTTCTTTTCCATGAGAAAAAAAAAACTCACTATTTTTTCTACTCTAGTAACTTTATTACTTAATCAAAAGTTCACATGGCATTCACTTTAGCTGAATGAGACAGATTTGTGCATATATAATTTTTAGTCATAACTGTAAGTTTTAAAATCTGTTGCCTATACTAACTGATAATGGGATTATTTTAAAATAATTTCCTATCAATATATAATATCTTTCTTCCTATTTCTCTTCAGGGTCCTTTCCTTAAATCATTTTAGAACAGATGTCAGGAATTTTCTGGACTTTGAAAATATATGTAAATAAATAAATAAATAAATAAATAAATAAACAAAGCATATATATATATATGGGGGATTATATCTACTGTCAAGAGAAGCTCTGAACAGGGTGAAGGGAAGAAAGAAATATCAAACTAGGTTACATGGCATTTATACAGACTATGGCATTGCAGTGGATAGATTAAATATGTTCCTATTTCTATTTACATCAAAGACCAAACATTCTTTGCACTGTGATTGTGCAGGATCCAGACAAGAGAAACACAGACAGACAGAGCAGTGATGAACTGTGGAGCCAAATGATAAACTGAGTTACTCCACACTTGTGACCACCTTCCCTGCACTTTCCAACTGATTCATCTCCTTTACAGACCTTTTTGATATTAGAAGCCAAGAGCAACTTCAAATACATTCTAATTTTCTTTTCTAAAGCAACATTCCTTTTCCCACTAGAATTGTCCTAATCCAAAACTTAAGGCAAAAAATTTTGGTCTTTTACAAAACAGGTTTATAGATCAGTATTTTGTTATTGGTTCTGGATAACAGCTTTGGATGAATATATACCAAAATATGCTGTTCTGGAAGTTGAAGAAGAATTAAGGTACAGTAATTACAATTTAAATGTTTAAAGGATTTTAAATATTTATATATATATGTATATAAATTTAGAAATATTATTTAAGATTTAAAAAGCCAATACATGAAATAATGTTTTGATCAAGCAGAATAAATATTCTTTATTAGCTGCTTGTGTGATAAAGCTGAAAATAATACAATGATCAAAACAAAACAAAGCCTAAGACAAGAAACCATCTCACATTACCTTCTGCATTCTCTTATTATTCCTATATGTTCCTCTAAATGCTGCATCCTCTGTGTTTTCTTTTTCTGCATAATATATTTTCTCCAAAGAACAGTCCCTGCTGTTCTGTCAGAGATTGTACAATTAAAGAGTTTAGAGAAAGCAAGCAGGACTTATAAGATACTATCTAATTTATTAATAAATATATGGGATTAAACTTCTCACACACGTTCTACCAATCCCTGTCAGCGCTGCCAGCAATAAATGTGTGAATGACAGACTGCTCTATAAAATCTTGCAAGAAATCTTACAATCTATGGCACCAATCATAAATTCAAAGCGTGAAATGGGTTTATTTAATTCCCAGTGAATTAGTGTCTCTGTTAATAGAGTTCTAAATATATAATCATATGAATGTCAGAAAGAAAAGTCTTAATCAGGCTTTCATTGTGCAGTTATTTCTAACATAGAGCCAGATCCATTAAACTTTGGGAGCAATACTTTGGTTTACTCCATGATTGGACTTGCTATCTGAAATTCCATGCAGAAAAAAAGGCTGGTCATGGATTTTATCAGGCTTTGTTAGATTTCCAAAGCACCATCAGTTCCTCGATCTGTTTTTTAGATTTTTATATACTACAGTCCAGATGACAAACAGAGGGTCTTATGACAAGCAGATGCTTGTCAGATGACAAACAGAGGGTAAATATAGTATTGAACATTAAGTGAGGTAGCTGATTTAACTGTTACAGAACAAATACAACTAGTAGGAGAAAAATAAACTGACATAGACTTCAGAATCAAATCTGGAAGTGGAAAATTTCTAGCTAAATTTGCTCAAACTTTTATGTTCATATGGTTTGGCTCACCTTAATTAACTTAATTGTTATTTGATATGTGAATATTTCAATGTGAATTTATATGTGATGTCATAAAAAGTATCAACTAGAAAAAAATACTACTATGTTTACAATAAATAAATTCTAAATTACTATGTACTTGATTATAAGTATTTGGGGATAAGGGACAAAATTTTAAGGCTTTGCTTCTCCAGAATCATATCACATGCATTTTTACACAATAAAAAGTTATGAACATGCTATCTGGTTGTAGTAAACATTTACACATACTTCTAAATGCTATCTGTTTGAATGGAACTTTGAATGAAACAAAGGAGGGCAACAAAGATGGTGAAGGGTCTAGAGGGGAAGATGTATGAGGAACAGCTGAAGTAACTTGTTTTTTTCAGCCCAGAGAAGAGAAGACTGAAGGGTGGCATCATAGAGGCCTACAGCTTCCTCACAAGGGGAGCAGAGGCCCCTCTGCACTCTGGTGACAGCAACAGGACCCAAGGAATGACATGGAGGTGCAACAGGGAAGGTTCAGGCAGGGTGTTAGGAAAACGTTTTTCACTGAGAGGTTGGGCACTGGAACCGGGAAGAGGGAGGCTGGGAACTGGAACTTCCCCAGGGAAGTGTTCACAGCACTGAGGCTGCTGGAGACAACACTCTCAGACACATGTTCTGGTTTTGGGGTGGTCCTGTGTGGACCCAGGAGTTGGGATTGATGATCCTTATGGGTTCCTTCCAACTCAGGATATTCTAGAACTCAATTTATTCTTAAGTGCATTGCTAAATCAGGTCCATGCTGAACTTTAGAGATTAAACATAAAGAATCATGAGCTCATGAGCAACGTGTATATGAAGATATACATTACTGTCCATGAATACTTTCTGAAGAATGAACAGTCAAAAACTGCTATTTTTTTGATCAGCTAATTTACAGAACATCAGGAAAGATATATATATATATATATATATATATATATATTTTTTTTTTTTTTTTTCCCAGTTACTCTTATTTTACAAGTAGAGAAATTCCAAATGCATATGTGCAAATATGTGTATATACTTACAGGTCTGGGTATTCAGATCATCATTACAATCTGTTCCAAAGAGTTTTGTTCAAAACTATCCTGATGCAGCTCTTAAAATTATACTTTGTTTCCATTGTAAAACAGTAATGTGAAATAACACCATTAAAATTACTGTTCTACAGATGGGATCATTATGTTAAAAAGGTTCCCAGAGTCCATTTCGGTTGCTAAGAGGTTGTCACTTTGCCTTTCAGCTTCTTATTCAATGATTCTCCTCAAAATTCTCATCACAATAATTTCATTATAATTCCCCAACTGAAGAAAACGTGTTCAATAGGCATACTGAAAATTTTATTGATAGTCTTGAAGGCCCAGTGTACGGATGGCCAAATCTGCCACATGCCTTGAGTTTCAACACTTGAATCTTTGAATCAATGTATTCTTATTGGATTTCGATCTAGTTCTATGTCAGGGTTTGTGAAAAATGTATTTTTTTCTGCTGATCTGGAACTGCAAATCAAATATTTCTCAACTTTTCTGATCTCTTTCAGGTAATCACAGACAGCTATCCAGCGAAGAATTATTTGAATATGCATAAAACTTTACTTGATTTCAAAATCAAGGGGATTTTTGTCTGATTAAGCATATTTGAGGTAAATTCTTGTTTTATCAATACAGTCTTACAGTGTCTAGATTCCATTTTACATTTTTAAATGTAAGATCTTAAGTACACTACTACCAGTAAAATCAAAATTACTGTTTATTATTATTATTATTATTATTGTTATTGTTATTGTTATTATTATTGTTATTATTTTATTATTTTATTATTTTAAATAAGAAAATATCAAATGCTCTCTATAAAATGATTTTTTTTTCACTTTATAATACTATGACAATATAGGAATCATCTTTACAGGCTTTATATTTCTTATGAATATGAGAGAAAAAAAAAATATATATATATATATATACAGCTTTACAGCCAATACCTGGTATGCCAGACATACATTAGATATACACAAGAAGACCAGTAGTCTTTACCAGTCATGCTATCAGACAAAACTACATAAAAATTATGAAGCAATCCTGACAAAGTAATTATATTTTTGCAGGTGAAAATTTGTGTCTGAATCTGTCCTAACCAGCTCTTCACTCTAATGAAGACTTAATTTAGAACATATTTCTCAATGAAATAATTTTTAATTATTCTGAATTTTCTTATTAATCAAAATATCCACTGTCAGCCTTTTTCACATATTTTCCTATTCAATCTGCTCCAGCTTTACTTCTGCAAACTCTCTGGATTCCCAGTTTTGCTCTTCCTATTTTATCCTTACAGTCTTGTATTTAATACCCAAATATTTTAGTAAAACACAGCTATTTGGATGACTGAGCTTCATATCCTTTCTAAAAAATTGTGTTAAAAAAGAAAATCAACTTTTGAGAATTAGGTGTTACATTAAATCTAAAAAGTCAAGTAAGTTACATATTTTGAAAAATAAATAACTGAACTATACAGGTAAGCTAATATGCCTTATATTGTCATAGTCTCTATTCATTAGTTTGAGGAACACTACAGAGTTCTGTCAGTTATGTGTCTTTATTTGAGAGATGTAGACATCAGTTAGCCCAATGGGAAAACCATTTCATGTATTTCAAGCCCTCTGGTCTCAAAAGAGATCATATAACTCAAAGAGTCTTATTGCTTAGGTTAAAATCTGCATAACAGACTGAAACTGAGTTCCTTCTTCTTCATAACCTTCCTAAGTCTTCAACAGCATGCTTAAGTTGTACTCTTTTATCACCCTTCATCTTGTCCAAACAATTCAATAATGTTCAGTTGATTAGCTTGTACTTACCCCTTGAATTCAACTAGTGGACACATCTATGGCCTTAATTTCTTCCCTGAAACTTTTTATTTCTCATGACATTAGAAGAGAGAATTGGAGACATGCTGCCTAGAGAAACAAACAAATTTTGTAGGTCAGCGTATGTCTTGATGCTGAACTTCAACCTTCTAATGACTTCAGTGTACAAATTGTTGGTCTTAGTTCATTGCTTTTATTTAAATGCAGTGATCTGGTGTATTTGTTCTCTTATATATTGCAAAGAAAATTATTGGGCATCATACTGAAACACTGTCCTGAAGCAGTCTGTCATGAAATATTCCTGTGGCATGAAACCAGATGCTTCTATAAACAGGTAGAACTATAAAAATCACAGAATCACAGAATCACAGAATTTCTAGGTTGGAAGAGACCTCAAGATCATCGAGTCCAACCTCTGACCTAACACGAACAGTCCCCACTAAACCATATCCCTAAGCTCTACATCTAAACGTCTTTTAAAGACTTCCAGGGATGGTGACTCCACCACCTCCCTGGGCAGCCTGTTCCAGTGCCTAACAACCCTTTCAGTAAAGAAGTTCTTCCTAACATCTAACCTAAAACTCCCCTGGCGCAACTTAAGCCCATTCTCCCTCGTCCTGTCACCAGGCACGTGGGAGAACAGGCCAACCCCCACCTCGCTACAGCCTCCTTTAAGGTATCTGTAAAGAGCAATAAGGTCGCCCCTCAGCCTCCTCTTCTCCAGGCTGAACAAGCCCAGCTCCTTCAGCCGCTCCTCGTAGGACTTGTTCTCCAGGCCCCTCACCAGCTTCGTCGCCCTTCTTTGGACCCGCTCAAGCACCTCGATGTCCTTCTTGTAGCGAGGGGCCCAAACCTGAACACAGTACTCGAGGTGCGGCCTCACCAGAGCCGAGTACAGGGGGACGATCACCTCCCTAGTCCTGCTGGTCACACTGTTTCTGATACAGGCCAGGATGCCATTGGCCTTCTTGGCCACCTGAGCACACTGCTGGCTCATATTCAGCCGACTGTCCACCATCACTCCCAGGTCCTCCTCTGACTGGCAGCTCTCCAACCACTCATCTCCCAGCCTGTAGCTCTGCTTGGGGTTATTGCGCCCCAGGTGCAGGACCCGTCACTTGGCCTTGTTGAACTTCATACAGTTGACCTCAGCCCATTGGTGCAGCCTATCCAGATCCTCCTGCAGAGCTTTCCTACCCTCGAGCAGATCGACACATGCGCATAGCTTGGTGTCATCTGCGAACTTACTGAGGGTGCACTCAATGCCCTCGTCCAGATCATCGATGAAGATATTAAAGAGGACCGGCCCCAGCACCGGGCCCTGGGGGACGCCACTAGTGACTGGCCTCCAACTGGACTTGACTCCATTCACCACGACTCTTTGGGCCTGGCTATCCAGCCAGTTTCCAACCCAATGAAGCGTACGCCAGTCCAAGCCACGAGCAGACAGTTTCTTGAGGAGAATGCTGTGGGAAACGGTGTCAAAAGCCTTGCTGAAGTCAAGGCAGACCACATCCACAGCCTTTCCCTCATCCACCCAGCTCATCACTTTGTCATAGAAGGAGATCAGGTTCATCAAGCAGGACCTGCCTTTCATAAACCCATGCTGACTGGGCCTGATCCCCTGCTTGCCCTGCAAGTGCTGTGTGATGACACTCAAGAGGATCTGCTCCATGAGCTTCCCTGGTACTGAGGTCAAACTGACCGGCCTGTAGTTCCCCAGGTCTGCCCTCCGGCCCTTCTTGTAGATGGGCATCACGTTTGCTAGCCGAAATATATCAAGAAATAATAACATACCACTTAAAATTCAACACATACTAAACCTGTTCTCCTTTCTCAAGTTGACTTGGTTAAGAGTGTTTCTACAGCAGACATAGTACTAGATGATTAATACATCAACCTTGAAGTATGAGAGTTGTTTTAGTTATGAAATATATAAAAATTACACAAATGTTTCTACTTTAACCTCTTCATTTAACATTTCTCCATATGGCAGATGAGCAACAAAATCTGGTGCAAAGATACTGAATTATTGAAATATTTCATTCCAGAAATGGAATTTGTAACAGGTGTGTTTCAAAGTCATGAAAATGTGAGGAAAGCAAGTTAAAACTATACAGTACAGTATCTACAACATAATTCCAGCTTTCAGCACTTATTCTGGAGCAAAGTTAATAAACAGCTAGTTAGTCAGTGATCAGTAAAATATTACAAACAACCTTAAACTAAAGTTTTGTTGCTGTTGTTGTTGTTGCTTTAAATATATATAAAGCTTTTGGTTTTGGACAAAGTCAATTGCAAAGTAGTTAATGCATTCTTTTTAAAGAAATCTAACTGGAGAAAAAAAATATAAATCCAGTGTGGACTAGATTAATACAACTTCTGAATATTTTTAGAAAACACTGGAAGATCACTCTTCTACACTGGAATAATCTTATAAGAACAGACAAGTCCTAGGCTGCCTTCTTTTTTAAAACTATTTTTAAAATGATGTTCATGAAAACTTTACCTTCACAGAATAAAATTTAAATTTTAAAATGTTAAAAAGTCATAGAGTTTATGGAAACTGCTATCATAAGGATAATCTCCAGCTCTTGTTTGTGATAGCACACACCAAAATCAACATTAACAACTTTAAAATGAAGTACTCAAGGTGCCCATATTAGGTTCTTGCTCTAATTCGCCCTCTTGAGCAATCTTTTTTCTGATCATTTATGCAGCCTTCAAAAACTAGCCCAGTCTAGAGCTCCCAGCTGGATATCTTAAGTATTCAGCACTTATCATTGCAGCCCCAAAGGCAGGCTTGAGTCAGAAAGCAAGTCTGCACTTGTAGCTTCATTATCACTCAGAACAGTTTGACATCATCAAATCTAGTTTCACACAAAGAAAAATATTTGTATGTATTCATCTCACATATGAATTATGGTGGCTAATTTGTGTTTTTAAATGAAATGCAAGGTTCAGCACAGGAAGAAGATTCATGTAAAGAAATTCTCTTTTATAAACTGTATTTTTTAAATTTTATAAACACAAAGCCAGCTTTGTGTGAGAAGGCAAGCTTATGTGGCAGCCAGTCCTGAAAAAAAGTAGACAACTCTGCTTGTCAGTCTGCATGAGTCAAAAAGCCATGTGACGTTGTGGAAACAGCAGACCAAGTTGTGAGAAACTTTGTTTTCGGTATGTCCAACCTCCTGCTACCCCCTAGTGTCCTAGATGACCTCTGATAGCTGCACTGCTGTAGCTTTCACAGGCTTCCTCAGGAGTTTAGTCATTTGCCCTGTACAGCTCAAAATCTTTTCTTCATCTAACCTTTGTTAGCCTCAGGTCACCAAACCTTGTCCTATGTCTTCTAAGACTGTGAATAATTCCCCACTTTCAATTTCCATTCCTATCTTAATAGTATGAATCTGAGAAGAAAGAGAAAAGAAAACAAACACGCACGCGCACACACATACACACACACACACAAAAAAAAAAAAAAAAAAAAAAAGCAAAAAAACTCATTATCTCCCACAGCCTGTGAGCCACAGCAGGATTATCAGGATTTTTAATCTTCCAGTTTGCTTTATGATAAAGTTATAAAGAAGTCAAACCTGTCATATAGTACTATTAAAGCAGCACTACCCTGGATTAAATAAAAATAGTCAATAGACTGGGCCTTTCAAGCACTTAAAAGGAGCCTTTTCCTCTTTCTATTTACTGGAGAGGAGCCAGGCAGCCCAATATACTGTAGGCTAAGAGATTTCTTAATTAAAATATTCTTGCATGTACTCTCAAACACT